TGGGGTGCTCCCTGTGCTCTGTTTCTGGTGCCTAGCAGGCATGGCTGAAAGGGGAGCAGCTGGGGCCCTTTCAGGAGGCTTCTGGCTCTGCTCAGCTCCCTGTTAGCCCAGCGACAAGGGGGGTGAAGGGAGATGTTTTTCCCTGTGGCTGATGGGTTAGTGCTTAGCAGCCAGGCCAGGCTGGGAACTCAGCTGTCGTGCAGCAGCTGGGTGCGGAGAAGTGGCTGCAGCCACTCTCGATCAGGGACTCGGTGCAGAGCAGGCTTTGCCCTGGTTGTTGCTCATCCTTGCTGCTGTCACTGTTGTTACCATCATTCATAAACTATTTGCAGGCACCTGCCTTGCTGGGTGCTTGGCAGAGTCACCGGCAGTCCATCCCTGCTCTGTCAAGACCAGAACTGCAGCAGGCATGCAGATGATGTAAGCCACTCCTGCTCCCCTTTTCCTGCACACCGATAATTATCCTTGTCCCCTGAGTAGCCAAAAGCCATCAAGACATCCCACATGGCCAGGCACTTTGTGCTGAAGAGATGCTGAAGGGATGCTGCTGGGAATGGCCTTACATCAGGGCTCCCACAGGGCAGGACGCCCAGTGAAGGGAGTTCCAGGGATGCAGAGATTAGTGAAGACATCCTTTGCACTGTGCACTTGTGCTGGGAAGCTGGAGGAGGTGACCTGAGTGCACTGCATCTGCCTGGGATGTGGGGACCTCAGAGACACCCCAGAGCCTTCAGTTTTTCAGCTTTTGCAGGTTTTGCACCAACCCTTTGGGGTCTAGTTTTGGCGGCAGATTGCTGGGGGTATGTCAGTCCCTGTGTTTCCTCGGGAGCAGGTGGGATGCAGTCTGCACCCTGGCTGCTACAAAAGCTGGGTTCCTTTTTGGCCAATTACACTACCCCGGGAAGGCCAGGGCCCTTCTGAGCATTTAATTTTTCCTGTGATGCCAGCCACAGAGAATAACACCCACCTTCCTCACTCAGCAAGAAAAAGCAGGGGCTTCTCCCCAGCTGCCACTCCAGCAGCATCCTCTCCTTACAATCCTGCTCAGTCCAGCCCCCAGCCGCTGTGTCGTGTACCCCCAGCCCCATTTTGGCCAGAGAGGAGTGGGTGACTGCTGGTGCCAGTCCCAGCAACCCCACCATGGGGTATCCCCCACCTAGTCTGAGATCCTGGGGGTAGGCAGCTGCTCTCGCAGCGCCATTGTCTGGACGGTGCAGCCGCAGCAGGGATCGCTGGGGCGGTGTGGGAGCAGGCGGGAGGTGATGCTGTCACCTTTCTGTGCCTCTTCCTGACTTTGTCATCCTGGGGACCTTTGTGCGGTTCCCATTTTTATCTGTTTTTTCTCCCTCTCACTCTTTCTCTCCTTCTCTCTTTGCTTTCTTTTCTCCCCCTCCCATCAGCATGTGGGCTGATCACTGCTCAAACTTTTAATTCAGATGGTAATTGGAATAATAATACGGGCAGAATCCTTCTGGCTCCGTTGCTGCAGCTGGCTTCAGGGAGCTATGAATAGCTCTGAGTCACACACTGAGATGGTTTAACTTCAAATCATTTTGTTTTGTTTTCATATTACCCATCCTCAGGCTCCAGAGCTTCACAGGGGGAAAAAATATCCCCCCTTCTCACTCCACTCCAAAATATAAACCGGGCAGAGGCACATGAATAAAATCTTCTTTTGGAGAGGGAAACTGGTCAGCGGATCATGCCTTGAGGGGCAGATGGGGACTGTTGGCACCTGATCTATTTATAATTATTGAACGAAAAGGCAGAAGTGTGTATATAAAAATGGTATAGAGTTGATTACAGCTTCCTCCCCTCACCTTCCATATGTCAGTTGCTTTTCTAATATGGTAAAACTCTCCTGCACGGTGACTGTGCCTTGGCGTGTGCCCGTGCAGCGCCTGGCAGCCTGCCCTGCCAGCACGGAGCAGCGAGAGCTCGGCCGCTGGCTCTTGTGGCAGGACAGCCCCTCACGGCACAGAGCTGCCCCCTGAGCCCCAGCATGAACCCTGGGAATATTCCTAAGGAATAGGAGAAGAGATGGAGTTACAAAGAGGATGGAGAGGACACACTAAGTGCTGTGGGTCTGCAAGGCTCTGCTAAAAGGCAGAGAGGTCCCTCCTCAGCTGCGGGTGTTTCCGCCCCGACTCCCCAAGAGGCGAGAAGTTGGTCTGCCGTGCTGTCAGCGTGCCGAGCTGGCAGCCTGGGCTGTGGATGCTGCTCCCGAGCCAGCCGGTGGCAGGGACAAAGGCACAAAGCGGAGCGCGACCAGCGGCTGCGATATTGACCACAGACAGGAGAGAAGCATTTGCCAGACAACTCCCGATAAAGCAAAGACTGAGAGTGTAAAAATACCCTGGGATTTTTCCATCGTTGTCGCTCACAGTGTATGTCCCAGAGCACCAGATATGGTTGTTATAAAAAGAGAAGTGGGGGAGTGCTTTAGCGTGGACTTTTCTGTTCTGTTTCATGAGACTCTTCCATTGCAAATTTAAGGAAGGATTGACAGTATATGATCTACTCTGGCAGGGGCTGGAGAAAGACTGGGACGTGCGAGGCGCTGCACTGTGTACAGGGGATGGAGCAATGGAGGTATTGCCCCGGCACCAAGCACCTTGACCTCATTATGCTGCAGATCCCTTGGAAAGGGACAGCAGCAGTGCAGCCCCACGTGCCTGTTCAGGGCCAGAGCAGAACTGGGGTGGCAGCGTGGGCTGGTGTGATGGCTTGTGCTGCTGGAGCACGGTGTCACACGGGAAGGAGGAGATGACTGCAGCACCGTGGTGGTGTCCCTGGCATTGCTCAATCTAAGACACGGGAGGGATTGGGAAAGAGGGAAGGGTAGCACATGCTTTGGGGCTGGAGTCAGCTGCTGGCCTCTGGAGGCCCAACTGGCTGGCTGTTTCAATGCTGCAAGGCAGTGGCTGTGACAGCCATGCTGCAGCAGCTTTCAAAAGTGCTTGGGGGGCTTCTGCAGGCCATGAAATTCATGTGTGTTCATGTACACCCAGGACAGGCAGCAGAGGGATGGGGAGGCTTCTGTCCAGGCTGCAGCCTCCAGCCTAGCCTCTCTTCTTGCTGCACCCACCAGCTTTGTTTCATACCACTCCATAGGAATTGCCACTGACTCTGCAGCTTCCTCCTTCACATATGGGTCTCAGGAGGAAGCTCCAAGAAATGCCCTCAGGCATGCTCTGGACTCGTGTCTCTGTCCTCAGCCAGGCTTTCCTCCTCCTTGTCCATGTGACAGGCAGCTGCCTGTTCAGGATATGAATATAATCCCCTTCTGCCGGAGACACCTCTGAGCCTTCCCCTTTCATTCAATTTCTGTTTCAGGTTTCCAAGGGGCAATGGGACCTTTTCACAGCCATTTGAACTACGTTTGCATAGGGTTTGGGCTCCTGGCAAGCCCCCAGGCCTTGCCAAGCTGGTGGCATTGATTTTGCCAGCAGGGACGTCGGTGGTGGCCCTGGCCCACCGGCTGCTGAGGAGGGACAGTGACCGAATGTGGCAGCAGTGCCCAGCCCAGGCGTTTCTTGCCTGCCTGTCTGTCCTTCCCATGGCGGCACCACGCGCTGTGGGGGTGTGTTGGGGTGGAAGTGGGAAACGTGTTTATTTTTGTTCGTCTCCTGGCTCGTGCCGCTCTGAGTTTGTGGCACTGGGTATTACTAACACTTCCCTGTGCCAGCTGGCAGCAGGGATGAATCAGATTGGCAGCACCACAGTGTGGACCCTGCACTGCCCGCTCAGCTTAGATGGATGCCTGTGGCCAAAGTGCCGGTGATGTCTCCTGCCCCTGACCAGGGTCAGCCCCAACCAAGTGCCAGTGGCTTGGCCTTGCTGGTGGAGGTGTCTCCGTACCCTGTGGGACAGGGCTGTCCCCTCTGGGCCATGCTGCCTGCCCAGACTAGATTGTTCCTGTTCCCTCCTTTACACTGGAGGTCTCAGGTGGCTTCATGAGCTGCTCACTGGCAGCATCCCCAAGCTGGGGTCAGCTCTACACCGGGAGGACAGCTTATCCTCATGCTGCCAAAATCACCTTTTGCAGCTGCTGTGGTTTAACGCCAGCAGGCAACTTAACTATCACACAGCCCCCTCTCTCCCTCCCACTGCCCCCATCCACAGTGGGGAGGGGAATCAAAAAGAAAAGGTAAACTTTGTGGGTTGAAATAAAAACAATTTAATAATTGAAACAAAATATAACAATAATAAACATGTCAATAATAATAATAATATAACAGTAATAGTAATAATAAGCACAGAGAGAGAGAATAAGAGGATCCACGAGAAACACGTGATGCACAACCCCATTACTCACCACCCAATGACTGATGCCCGGCACGTCCCCAGGCATTCATCAGCCCCTTCCAGTTAAATCCCCCAGTTATATTCTGGGCATGATATTCTGTGGCATAGAATATCCCTCCGGCTAGTTTGGACCAGCTGTTCTGGCCATGCTCCCTCCTGGATTCCTGTGCAACTCCTCAGTGGCAGAACATGAGCAACAGAAAAGTCCTTGTCTTGGAGTAAGCCACTACTTAACAAGAGCTCCAGCAAATCTGTGTTATCAGCATTATTCTCATACTAAGTCCAACACTGTGCTGGCTACTATGAAGAAAATTAACTCAGTCCTAGACAGAATCAGGACAGCAGTTGATTGCTTCCTCCCCCTCCCCTGCTTCTGGCAACTCAGCACACATGGAACTTGATGACATCACAGACCCTGGAATGTTGGGGGTTCCAGGTGTCCCCAGAGCCAAGATGCAGAGGTTTGTGGCTCTCCTCTCCCTCCTGAACACCTCCTGATCCTGATGTTCTGAACAGAGGGATTTTGGTGGCCACAACAAGCACTGCTGAGGCTGCAGAAGGTGGCACACAGCTTGCCAGCGTCAACAGCTTGCATGGCCTGCACTCCAGGAACACAATTTGGATTCTCCTTTTTACTGCAGCTGAGAGCATCTTGAAAAACGTCGCAGTCATTTCGCATCTTTGGGCTAATGATGATGGTCTACCCAGAATCTCAAGGCTTGCAAGGTGATGATGGCAATGATGGTGGTGATGATGACAGTAAAGAATCAGGGAACTCCTGCCATCCTGATGTTCCTTCACCCTTGTGCAAGAGCAGTAACAGCACAGATGAAAAGAAGACAGAGGATCTGGGAGAACCCACATCTTTTGTAACTCCTGGGGACTCTCACATGGTGAAAGATGAACAGGTGGGGTGGGCCAAGCATGCACTGGAGCTTGAGAAGGAAGATCAGGAGCTTCAGGAACCATTTTACAAAGACATGGGAATGTCTGGCAGATTGGATGGAGATAAGGAGCCCAGCCCAACCTACCACCTTCCTGGGCATCAGAGGTTGCCTGCCCCCCTAAAGGCTGGTACAGCACCAGGTGGCTTCCATGACTCTTTCCAGCACAGCTCAGGCTGGCACTTGGGGGCAGAGGCCACTGCCACACAGGCCCATGCCAGTGACCATTTTGTGGGACATCCAGAGAGCACCATGGGAGCGGAGCCCCATGTGCTGCGCAGGGAGGATGGTGAGGACATCAAGGACAGAGAGTCCCTGCCCATGCAGCCAACCTACGACTCACTGTGGCAGGAGAACAGCATGCTCAGGTCGGAGAACGAAATGGTCAGGAACGCGAACATCATGCTTGCAGAGGAGAACTTCGCACTCAAGCAGGAGTTCAAAGAGCTCAGGAAGGACAGGGCTATGTTCATGGCTGAGGACATCTTGATCAGGGAGGAATACAACGTGCTCAGGGAGCATTATGACAGGCTCAGGGGTGAGAATGATGCACTCAGGAAGGACAATGCCATGGTCAGGAGAATGTTCCAGACCTTCCAGAACAACTTGAAGAGACAGGTGTGCATGGTGGCGAGCCTGCAGGATCAGCTGAAGGCCAGCAAGGCTGAGCGAGAGAGGGAAGTCCAAGAGCTCCAATCCTTAGTCCAGAAGACTGAGTGTCATCTTCAGATAATGACCCAGCGGGCTCTGAATGCTGAAACAAACATGGAGAGCCTGAAGCAGGAGATCTTTACTCTCCGTGTACAGCTGGAGAGATGCAAGCTGGGGAATGAAAACCTGGGAACAGGCTGGCCTAGAAGCAATGAAACAGAATTTAGACTTCACCAGGCAAAACCCCCACAAGCTCATAATGGGCAAAGATGTAGTTTCTGCCTCGGAAATGCTGCCCATTGTTACTGAGGTCCTCAAATCCACCAGAAAAATTCTCAAATTTTAATCAGAGAAAGACCTATGAGCGCAGTTCTGTGTGAGTTTTATGGATCTGTGCACAGTCCGAAGCCATCGTTCTCCCACTTGTAACCATTTACTGCAAATAAAAGCATTCACTTTCCCATTCTCAAATGTGTGCTCAGACTGGTAGCCTTCATCCTTTATGGAGATACTTTCCTTGTGATTAGGTACCAGTTGCAGGTACTGATGTGACTTTAGCTGCTGATACTCTGTTCGGGCACTGTGGAGCCAGCAGCAAAGGCTGCCCAGGCTCTGAGCTGCACGGTCCAGCCATGGTGGACTCTGCAAGAGGCTCTGCCACAGCTCTGGTTGACATGAGCTTCCATGTGGGAACCAGGAGGAAGCACAGCACCAAAGGATGTAGTGCTCTTACACAGTGTGCTCATCCCACCCCATAGCATAGCTGTACCAGCCTGAACTGGAGATGAACAAAGCCCTTGTATTTCATCTTTCTCCTTTGCCCCTTTTTGGGAAGGGGGGAAAGGTGAGGAGCAAAGATCCAGGTGTTGCTGCACACAGCTTCGCAGAGGGCCTTAGGTCCTCCTCCCTTTCTTTTGGAGCTGGCTGCTGCCTGGGCCAGAAATCCAAAATCTCTAGAAATGGTGCACCTGTTTCTGCAGCTGGAGAAAGAGAGTTGTTGGTTGTAGAAACTTTCAGGAAATTGTGAATTACTCATATGTGTGAGCTGTGACAGGGCCTTCCCTGTGTTATCGGGGTCAGTGCAGGCTGAGGATGAGCTTGGCATATCCAGGCTGGCTGAGAATGATGCCAGTTGAAGAGGATGCCTTTCCTCTCCTGGCTGGGGCTGGCACAGAGGGTTGTACCTAAACTGCCCACCTTTGCCATCTCCCAAAGCCATGTGGGACCCTGCAGTCTGAACTCAACATGCAATGGCTCTGGTCAGCTTTATCCCAGCAGGACCATCTGTGGGTATGAAGTGACCTCTCTCCATCACATCAACATTTCTGATTAACTTAGGTTACCAGCCCCAGGGTCTGCTATAGGTTTACCCATCTGGACAGCAAAAATTCCTGGCCAAACCAACTTCATGAAGACTTGGATGTTGCAGGGTAGTGAGGTGGTGGGAGCTGGCAGAGTTCAGTGTCAAAGTGCTTTTTCCTGATGGGGATTTTTGGGCAGCTGGTCCCTTTTGTCTCTGTGTGGATTACAAGGTTGTTTTCTTCTACTGGTCTCATAATACCCTTGGTCTGAACACCCATGTTTTCATTGCTGCAGAGCTTTAACTGCCTCAGTAACTGAGTAGTCTCCATCCCATCAGAGGTGATGTCTCGAGCTCCCTTCTTGCTGCTCTCCAGCTCTGGTCCTAACTGGGGAAAGCTGGTGGGCACCTCTGGCCATGTGCAGCCCCATTCTGGGGCACTGATGATGGGACAAGGATGGTTCTCACAGCTTTTCCATCCTAGGCAACATCATTTGCTGTTCCTCTCTCCTGTCCATGCACAACCATTTGGAAGCTGCTCTAAGCCTTACATTTGATCCCAAAATCCTTGTATTTTTTCCCATATCTGGCAACCAGTGGCTGTTCATTGGTGAGGCTGGGAGGAAATAGATTAGCTGGCTCTGTCTGCATCCACACTCAGCACTGGCTGCTGTAATCCAAAGGCCACAGTGCAGGATTAGCATGGGTGTACAAAGCCCTTCCTAATCTGTGAGTCATTACCCCCTCAGTGCATTTCCCTTCCCAGCAGCTCTGGGCAGGTGGAATAGGTTGGCTCTTGAGTCTTTGGCTTCACCATCCTTCCATTCTGGGAGGACTGGGCTGGGACATCTGCTGGACATCCTCCCAGGACTCTGCTGCTGAGCTGCTCCTTGGATGCTGTACACAGGGCATGTCACAAGGTTTGTTTCCTCTGTCTTCTCTTTGGCTACCCCTGAGCCCTTCCTTTCTGTCAGTTCTTTTGGGCTCTACTCATTGCTTCCCTTCTTTTATTTGAAACAGGGTGTTCTGCACACCCTGGAAAAATCCCCTCAGAATTAGGCTGGGCTGACAGGGATCCCTGAGGGCTGCTGTGCATTCCTGTGCTTTGTTAGTCCTTGTGTGAGAGGTACTTAACCTGGCTCAGCTCTCGCCCCATGTAAGCTCTGATATTAATATAATGGCTCAGGGCAAGGGCCCTGTGAGCGGCTCAGCTGCTGTGCCCTTGGTCTGGAGACGGTGACCGGCCGGCCCTGCTCCTCTGCTGGCTGGGGAACGTGGGGTCTGCGGGCTGTGCACCCAGTCTGCACTACCAGCTCTTCACCTGCGGGCTGTGCACCCAGTCTGCACCACCAGCTCCTCACCTGCCCAAGCCAGGCTGCAGCAGGTGCCCCAAGGACACCTCCCAACGCTCCCTGAGCAAAAGGCTGGGAGCCTGTGCCCGCTGCTCCAATGGCTGCTACCAGGGGGGGTTCGGATCTGACTGGGTTTTGCTTTGTCCTTCCCTGCCAGGTGCGTGCCCAGGAGCAATCGCAATGGCAGTGCTGGTCCCAGCTCACCAGAGGTGAAACCTGGAGCTGCCCAGTCCCACGTGAGTGCTGCTGCATGAGCTCCCACGGCCTGGCAGCTCCCACGGCCCCCTGACACCCGATGACTGAGCGAGCCATGGGCAGCGTCCGAGTCAATCGGTGAGTAACCCTCCTCTCAAGACCTGCTGCTTCCCTGAGTGACCTGGCTCCTCATCTGGCCCCTCAGACCCTAAATTCAGACTGCCTTTTGATATATTTTTCTCAAATTACCTGTCAGCGGCTTTCCTGTTCTAAGGAATGACTCCTCTCTCCTCCTCCAACCCAAAACATGCCATATGTAGGGGTAGTGCTTGCAGGAATACTATGGAGGAGAAGCAAAGCACTGCAGTGCTGCTGGACCAGAAATTACAGATTCCAGCAGCACTGCAGAAGCCACATGTTCCCAGGAATCACAACTCCAGCCACCAGTGCTGTCCTTGCTGTGAGATGGAGGCCCATTCTGGAGGACTCCAGCTGACATGTCAACACCACAGGGTAGGAGGGAGAGACTGCCAGGGTCCTGTGAGGCTGCAGCTGGTCAGGCATGAGGGCAGAGCAGTCTGTGCTTCAGTGCACTCTCTTGGCTTCCTCGGTGGTCAGAGCACCATCTACCATCACATCTTTAAGGAGTATCTGCAAGTGTCACGGGATCACATGAGGGGCAGTGTCGTGAGGGAGGGCAGCCAGAGGGGGAAAGGTCTCCCAGAAAATGTGTGTGTAGCTTCTGCCAAGGAAACTGCCACTGCTTTGGCTGTTGATTTCCAAATTACACCTTTGGCTTTGGATAAGAGATGCTGTAAGACACACATGTTGCTGTGGCAACAGAATTGTCCTGAGGCAGGAAGTGTATAAACATTGTCACCACACACCATGAAATCAGTGAGCAGAGCAGAGGAGAAAATAGAAACTCCCAGCCTTGTATTATATGAGGGCCAAAACGTGGTCAGGCTGCGGGTGCTTGCTCCCAGGCTTCCTGGCTGTGCCAGCTGCTGTCAGGTTTCAAAGCCTTGTATCCCTCCTCACCATAAAGGCTGGAAGGTACCTCAAGCTACAAGCTGCTTCTGCTTTGCTGCCCTGTCAGGACCTTGCTAGATGCATCCTCCAGGCAGCAACACCCAGCGAACATTACAGCATATGTCCACCAGCTTGGTCAGGTTGGCACCATGGTGCAATAATCACTGACACGTGCTGTTTGCTGTTGTGAGATCCTACAGGGTGGTACTGCTCCCCTGCGAACCACCCATGCCTCCTGCCCTTGCTGTCTCCATGGTTGCTGTTACCCTTTGTGTATTCCTGATGGAACTGCCTGTTTCTTCTGTTCCCAGGTACAGCATTGTCTCCACCGAGGAGGATGGACACAAGGTCTCTACGCTGGGCAGCATGAACGGGCACAGCCGGAACGGCAAGGGCCATGCTCCCCGGCGGAAGCACCGCAACCGCTTTGTGAAGAAGAACGGCCAGTGCAACGTTTACTTTGCCAACCTGAGCAACAAATCCCAGCGCTACATGGCCGACATCTTCACCACCTGTGTGGACACGCGCTGGCGGTACATGCTGATGATCTTCTCTGCCGCCTTCCTGGTCTCCTGGCTCTTCTTCGGCTTCCTCTTCTGGTGCATCGCCTTCTTCCACGGTGACCTCAATGCACCGGTGGTGGCAGGTAGTCCCTCTCTGCTCAAGCCCTGCATCATGCACGTGAACAGCTTCCTGGGGGCTTTTCTTTTCTCAGTGGAGACACAGACAACCATCGGGTACGGCTTCCGCTGCGTGACTGAGGAGTGCCCGCTGGCCATCATGGCAGTTGTGGTGCAGTCCATCGTGGGCTGCGTGATTGACTCCTTCATGATTGGCACCATCATGGCCAAGATGGCAAGGCCCAAGAAGCGGGCCCAGACCCTCCTCTTCAGCCATCATGCCGTCATCTCCGTGCGGGATGGCAAACTGTGTCTCATGTGGAGGGTGGGCAACCTGAGGAGGAGTCACATTGTGGAGGCCCATGTCCGAGCCCAACTCATCAAACCCTACATGACGGAGGAAGGGGAATACCTCCCCCTGGACCAGCGGGACCTAAATGTGGGCTACGATGTGGGTCTGGATCGTATATTTTTGGTCTCACCCATTATTATCGTTCATGAGATTGATGAGGAGAGCCCCCTCTATGGGATTGGCAAGGAAGAGCTGGAGACGGAGAATTTTGAGATTGTGGTTATTCTGGAGGGGATGGTGGAAGCCACAGCCATGACCACACAGGCACGAAGCTCTTACCTTGCTAGCGAAATCCTTTGGGGTCATCGCTTTGAACCGGTTGTGTTTGAGGAGAAGAACCACTACAAAGTGGATTACTCGCGCTTTCACAAGACATACGAGGTAGCTGGCACACCTCGCTGCTCAGCCCGGGAGCTGCAAGAGAGCAAGATGACCATCCTACCTTCTCCACCACCTCCCAGTGCCTTCTGCTACGAGAATGAGCTGGCACTTGTCAGTCAAGATGAAGATGAAGATGATGATGAAGTGGGTGTAGTGTTAGGGGGCAACACCAAGGAGGAGGGAGGTATCATCCAGATGATGGATTTTGGAAGCCACCTGGACCTGGAGCGGCTCCAGGCAACTCTGCCTCTAGATACAATCTCATACCGCAGGGAGTCAGCCATCTAACTCCTCCAGCCTCCCCGTTCCACACCCATTGCCCACAGTCTCCTCTGTTCCATACCCATACACTGGATAAGTCCTTTCACCACCAAATAATGCCTCCCATGATTGCCTCTCAGCCCCCAGATACACCAAGGCCTGGAGCTGCTCAGATACACTCCCTTTCTCATGAGGAGTGAGGATACGCTGCTCTTTCTGGGTGTGCAGCTTGGGCTAGAGCCCCTCTCCTGCCCCGAGACAGGAGGGCAGCAGGCCTGGTTTCTTGTCTCTGGAGAGGTGGCAGGAGTCCCTGCCTTCGGTGGACAGACTGGGACCCACAGCAAGTGTTTCTGCTGCTGAGGCAACAGCAGACTTTCTGTCACCTCTCACTGTGGGTAGGCCCCATGGCTGTCAAGGGTCATCGTCGTCACTGGGAGAGGAGCAACACCTAAGCACTGACCAGATGAGGATAGAAGGGAGAATTTGGGACTATTGGAGGGAGCGGGGAAGGATCTCAAGGGAGGAGTTTACTTGCATGTTTGTTGCTTGTTGAACATGATTTTGTATATAAAAGAGAAGGAGAACTGAAATAGATTTTTCCACGGCAAATGCCAAGCTAGGAGACAAGGACGTTCTACACAGGCTGCTCTGCACTCTCCTTGGCTTTCAGTGTCTGTCACCTCCAGAAGCAGCTCGGCTCCATGGACTCAGATCCAGTTCTCCCAGTCCTCTTGAAAAACATGTCCAGCTCCTCTCCTGAGATACTGGCAGAGGAGGCAGGGCCCTGTGCTTACCACACTCAGACTGCTCCTTGGCACAGCACAGCTGGGATGACAGACAGGTGACCTGACTGGACAGCAGACCCTCCACTTGCTCCTTTTGCCTCCTCCATTCTTCTCCCTGATGCCATCCGCTGTAAAACAGAATTTGTAACTATTTATTTTTAATAAAGCCTAATATCCCAAGGGGAGGTTTGGAAGCAAAGGACAGACTCCACAGCTGCAGCCTGGTATAGAGACTGATGAGGGTTATTAGGGCTGGTGTTTGCTATTTGTATGGCATTGGACCTTGGAAGCTCCATCACGAGGGCTCTCTTGTTCTGGGCCTCTCTGGTAAAGACCTATAACAAGAGGCTCAGAGAATTTGCTCAGGGAGAAGGTCATACAAATGTGTGTATGGAGGGAATAATCTGCATTAAAATTGCCAGTAGGATTGGCCAAGCAATACTATTTGCTTTGGGCATTGCTCTAGATTCAAAAACCCCATGAAAAAATCCAAAGTGTCTCTTTGTGCTAGAGGCAAGTGAAGGGAGGATGAGGGAAAACATCAACCAAAGCTAGACCCCTAACATCACTTTGTTGTCATTTTACAAATGAGGTGAAAACATGATGAGCATTTCCCTTCAGGAGTAGCAGAATCACTCCTTCAAAACTGCAGATGATATGAGGACAGAAAAACAATCGGGGAGCTCAGGAAGCTGCTGTGGGCACCCAGTAGTTGTGCTGTGGTGGGGAATAGCTGAAGAAGTTATGTCCCACCTAATCCCTGATCTACAAAGCAGAAAAAAGCATATCGACTTGGAATTAGTTCAAGAAGCAGAAGGACAGGGAAAGAAATAGGAGGACTGAGAGGAAGAAGCAGACACAGAGGGCAGATGGTGAAGATGGAAGGGGAAAAGAGGAAGAGAAAGTGAGGTTATATGGAAGTGCATTTGAGAAAGAGCATAAATAGATTCACAAGATGTGTCTAGGCCCAGACATGGTCATTTCTCATCTTAGGATGTAGGTTTTGTGGGGGAACAGCTGTCCTGCCTGGGTGTGCTCCATTCACTGGAATAATTCCATTCCCAGAATAATTCCATTCCCCAACACCCTCTGGGCCCAGCCATGGAGCCAGTTTTCTACCCAATGAACAATGCACCCATTCCATTTCTCCAGGCAGCCAGTTTCTCCAGGACAAATGCTTTGGGAGACAGTGTCAAAGGCTTTACTGAAGTGCAGGTAGACATCATCCATAGCCTTGCCCTCATCCACTAGGCAGGTCACTTTGTCATAGAGGGAGATCAGGCTGGGCAAGCAGGACCTGACTTTCCCAAACCCATGCTGGCTGGGCCTGATTCCTGGGTTGTGCCACATGTTCTGTATGATGGAAAGGTGAAATGCTCCATGACCTTTCCTGGCACTGAGGTCAGGTTGATGGGCCTGTAGTTCTCAGATCCTCCTTCCAGCCCTTTTTGTAGATGGGTGTCACACTGGTTAACCTCCAGTCACCTGGGACCTCTCTGGCCAGCCAGGACTGCTGATAAATGATGGAAAGTGGCTTGGTGAGCTCTTCTGCCAGCTTTCTCAATGTTCTTGGGTGGATCCCATCCAGCTCTGCAGACTTGGGAGTGTCTAAGTGGTGTAGGAGGTCACTGAGCATTCCCTCCTGCATTACGGGGCTTCGTTGTGTTCCCTGTCCCTGTCTTCCAGCTCAGGCATGGAGTACCCCAAGGACAACTGGTCTCACTGTGAAAGACTGAGGCAGAGAAGGCATTAAGCACCTCAGCCTCTATCTCGCTGCTGCAGTGATCCTCGGCTCCAGAGCCCATCTGCCAGAGCAGTTTGCCTCAAAGCCTACATTGAAATGATGGATTCACTGGATTTTGAGAGGCCTCCATCCCTCCTGGTTCTGCTGGTGCTGAGGCAGAGCTGCCTCTTCTCAGAGCTCCAATGCTACCCACTTGGGAACTGGGGTGCCTCTCTCACACTAAATTCAAGAGTTTGCTGGTATAGGAAATGAAGTCACCCCCTCCTTTCATTATTTACTTATTTTCCCCTGGGGGAATAAGCAGGGGCTGGTATTGACCTGGCTTTTAATACAGCTTTCAGAGTCGTGTGCCTGCCACTGGCCATGGAAACAAACTAATGGACCGAGAGAGAAGGATTTTGCGTGCGAGGACGCGGACATTCAGGACACATGAATGCATCCACCATGGGGTGGTGGCCTCCAGGAGAGGGGGAACCCTCATAGTTGGGCACCCCCTCACAGATGTACAGCACCCTTTGGAGGTGGGTGGCAGTGCTTGGTGGGGATGAAGTGTTCCCTTGGCTCTTGGGAGACCCATCAATCACCAAGGGGCGAGTGTGCAGAGGTGCCAGGCAGGGGTGGTGCCTCAGGGTCATGGGCATGCACAGCTGGAGTGGTTGGGGCAGCACACAGGTCAGCACTGCCACCCCTCCCTTCACATGGGGGCCTCTTGTGGGAAAAATGGGACAAGATTGCAATCAATCTGAGGGAACAAGCATCATTCAGCCATACTGGCTCCAGCCCCCTCCATATGTCTGAACCTGCTGGATGTTTTCATGTCATGCTTGGCATCACGGTGGAGAAGACAGTGAGGCATTGAAGAATACCCAGCTAAACCCCTGCTGTTCATAATAAAATTGCAAGAAAGCTTTCAGCGCTGTCAGATCATTAGAGAGGGGAGAGAGAAGGGGGTTGAGGGGAGGGGGCAGAGGGAAGGAGAGGAACAGCCAGCATAGGAAAACAGAGGTGGTGAGCAAGTTTCTGCCTATCAGACACTCCTCGTGCAGCTGTGCTGCACACAGCCCACACACAGCCCCTCCAACAACATGGTGTAGCCACTCCAGTGTCAGTTCCTGCAAGCTGCACACGTGCCCACAGGGTTTGCTGGTACACAGCAGCAGCAGGACGTCCTTCTGCACAGGTGTTCTGCACCTGCACACTGGAATCCCAGAGGACTCGTGCCCAAGAACACACTGCAGGTGCCTACATGTGCATGCCACACGTGGGGGCATAGTCCATCCTACACCACAACTTCATCCCATCAACACCAAGCACATTCACAAAAAATGCCACACAATGCAGCAAGTGTCTCGGCAAGTGCCTCTCTGGCTGTGTGCTGGGGACTCTTTTATGCAGCCTGTGAAAAGCCAGGAGAATCCATCCTGGAAAACTGTTAGCTACACAGAAGGCTTGATGTTTTTAAGGATTCTGCAAATCAGCTGTCCAGGCCATTCATAACTGTAAACACACCAGGTATTTTACCTTTTGCACACAGTGTGTGGAGCATTAGGTAGGTGATACCTCCTTGCACTGTGCTTTCCAGAGAAGATACCTTTAATGCAGGAGAGGGCACAATGTCCCTGGGGTCCTTCCCTCCTCCAGGATCTGATGGAGGGACTGCTTCCCTAAGACCTGCCTCTAGTCATGAGGGACTGGCAGCTTGCTTTTCAAGAGGAAGACACTGCTTCTTTGTTCATTCAACCACAATCTATATTTCTTTCCTGTCTTATTTCTTAACATCTTATTTGGCTCATTATTGAAAGCTACTCAAATAACAGAAAGATAATGGGGAGAGGAAGGACTTTTCCCCTATGAATAAGATCCAGGCACTGGTTCAGATCCTCTATCCCATGACGACTAACCATGCTCTTGTCACTCTTGCCAGCTCTCAAATGAATGTTGCTGTTTGAAATGACACTTGAGAAACTTATTTTATGTTTTATTTTTGGTGACACTTTTGGACAACCCTTTTGAAAAGAAATCATCATTGGCACCTTTCAACTCACACAAAATTTGCTCAGCAAAACATTTTGATACACACTGCAACTAAAAATATTTTTAAGAAACACAGCAATAATCTCAATTGAGGAGAAAATAGGTTTGGATTTCCATGATTAGGAAATGGTGCTGGAAATGTCTGTGCTTCTGAACAAACATGTTAGGTTTCAAACAGCTTGGTTTTGTCCAAGTTTTGCCCGGGACTGGATAGGGCACATGGCACTGCCACAGCAGCTGTGCACAGGCTCATGACCTCCACAAGAATGCCTCCTCTGTGTTCTTTGAGCTTTAACAGCTCTTCTTTGCTTTTGCAGGAGGGCCTCTTGCAGCTTTTGGACCAGCAATACTAAGTGGCCACCGTTTTGAGTGTCACAAAAAAAAAAAAAAAAGGAAAAAAAAAAAAAAAGGAAAAAAGTCTTCTCTTCCCAGGCCATTAAGGGCTTGCCCTCGCGAAGTCAATGGGGCTTTGGCATTGCCCGTGGTAAGAGCAGAGCTGGGCCCTAATGGAGCATCACTATTGGAAAAGCCCGCAGGGCCCGGCCCTGTGCTAGATCCGCAAAGCTGGGATGGGCTCTGTAGCTGCATGCGCAGGAGAGAGGGAGAGAGGAGGGAATGCAGCGTGCTGGGATGCTGAAAACATCAGTGGGGTGGTGTAGGGCAGCGGGGCAGACAGAGGGGACAGCCGAGGATGGAGACAGGGGCTGCAGTCTCTGCTCGCAGCAGACCCCGCGGCCGGCCGGGGATGTCACAGCGGCGGGAGCTGAGATGGCAGCCGGCTCTCGGAAGGGCTGCACGGGATTCTCCTCCCGCCGTGCTCCCCAGGCTGGGGGTCCCGCCCCGGCAGCCCCGGCCGCTCCCGCCGGAGGCCGGCGCAGGGAGGCTGAGCGGCGCGGCGGGGCGGGGGAAGCCCGGCTATTGCCAGCCGCAGAGCACCATCTAGGGATGAGAGCAGGGCTGGCAGCCCCGCGGGGCCCGGCCTCACCGAACCACAGAATCTCTTAGGCTGGAGAAGACCTCTGAGGCCACCGAGCGCAGCCCTTAACCCAGCACTGCCACGTCCACTACTAATCCGCGCCCCTAAGCTCCATGTCGACACATCTTCTAAACACGTCTGGGGATGGTGACCTCTCCACTCCCTTGAAAAGCCTGCTCCAGTGCTTGACAGCACTTTCGGTGAAAAAAAATTTCCTAATATCCAAACTAAACCTTCCCTGGTGCAACTTGAGGCCACTTCCTCTTGTCCTATTGCTTGTTATTTGGGAGAAAAGGCCAAGTCCCCCTGCTACCACCTCCTTTCAGGTAGCTGTGGAGAGTGAAAAGGTCACTCCAGAGCCTCCTTTTCTCCAGGCTAAACAACCCTGACTCCTTCAGATGCTCCCCATAAGACTTGTGCTCATCCC